TTATACGAATATAATGTATATCCATGTATCCATACACTTGTGCATCGATGAGACGATATTTTATTGTCTTGTAATGTAAACAAACTGTAAAAAATGTTTATACTTAACAATAAACTTTATGTTTTTGCTACCAAAAAAGAATATAACCACAATTAACCAGTAACCACAGAATTTATTCTTAGTTCTTATACTAGTCATGCAACTCGTGCTCTGTTTTCAATCTATTCAATCGAGTGAATTTGTGTAACTCGGTACTCGAGTGAAAATAAATTTTACTCGAGTCCGCTTGCACTCAAGCTACCGATTGAATTCAGCGCACCGCACCGTGTAGATTCGGAGATCGCTAGATAGATGTCAACTCACTAATTTACTTGTAGTATAAGGCGCCGCGAGTAACCTTACTGGTTACATCCAAATTCAAACTTGCATCTGTCATGTTGTAGTCAAATATGAACTTAGTTTGATTTATAATATCGTGATTTTGATATCATTGTTGTTTATTTTTTGTTAATTCGTATAAGTAGTGCATAACATAAAAGGTGATTTAAATATACTTGTTTGTTTAAACTATGAATGATAACAATGAAACAACAAAATAAAAATCGTCAGTGTGGCATTATTTTAAAAAAATGGAAGCGATTTGTAAGATATGCACAAAGCAGTTTATAGATTTTGAAATACTCCACATATCTGTAGTAAATAAAAAACATGGAAATACTACAAATAAATAAATAATAAATATTTGTATTTTATTTCATATTGCCACATATTAGATACTTATTTAATAAAGGTACCTATTTAAAAATGCTTTAACTAAGATAATCGCTATTCTTGACTCGAGTGATAAACTTCAATCGATGCAGGTACTGTAAATAGTTAATTCAAATAACTCAAAAACTCGAGTACAACTAGAGTGACATGATAAAACCCGAGTGACTAGAGTTACAAAATCCTACTCGAGTCACATTTTTATATTACGGTCAATGCAGTGTCTGTCTACAATTTAGTGATGAACTCGACTTACTAATTCGAGCAATTTATTGATATATTATGGAATGCCAATAAGCTGATTAAGTATAATTTGTGATAGTTAAATTATTAATAACAGTAACTTTACGCTACGTCATAAAGTTAGTGATATTATTTTATGAAGATTGTCTATACGCAAACCAATAATATATAATTACCCATTAAGTTAAGAAATAATAATAATAATCTTGGATGGACAAATATAAAAATAATTTGTAACAAACTGACAAAGCTTCGTTCCGCCAATTCGAGTTGCGTAACTCGAGTACTGTTCGATTACGTGAATTTCAACACAAGTTAACTCGAGTCGAATTTCTTCCGAGTTGGCACATCTCTACTACAATTGTGTTTAATATTACTTTATCTGAACCAATGACATAAACATAAATATCAAAACAACTCTTTTTTTCAGATTTCTTGATTCCGTCTAGATTTTCATAAAATCTTTATGCTATTTACAATAATAAATTGGTATCTTATTTTTTATATAATACCATTGCTGTCTGCAAAAATTTCTAGTGGGCCCAAAAACGACTGTCTCCTTTGCGAGAAAGGACTTTACTCTTCACTGCCAATGTCCTGCGCTCCCGCTCTATGTTGAAGTCATACTTTGGATCGTTTGTTATATCGTGAGCTATGAATTTAATGCTGTCAACGACCTTCCAAGCAGTACCATCTAGACTAACTTTTTGAATTGCTATAAAGATGAGGACTTGACTTTTGTCCGAGTTGTACTTGAAACCACATATTGCTAAAAAGAAGCAACTAGCTTCTTAATCGAAACAATAGATGTATTAAGCAGCACAATTTCAACAGAAAATCATGAAGCGCCAATGTAGCATCCGAAATGCATGCTGCTGAGCTTCCGATCTGACTGATAAATATTGATAAATAAATAACCCTAGATATATTAAACCTACTGTTTCACACCTCATTCTAATTTATACCTCTCAGAGGTATTGAATATAATAGAATAAAATAGGATAGAGTAGATTACAGGTAATTCTTGTTGAAAATATTTTTTTACTTTTATCATTGGTTCGGAAAAAAACCTCTGTTTTGGGAAGAAACAGCAAGTAACTTAGCTGGTTTTTTTTGTCAATTGGGTCATCTCACCTGGTTTATCTGATTCCTATAGTATTCATTGGAATAGTGATATACAACTTGTTGGCAAACTAGTGCTCCTCAAATTAGAAACACGCGCATGAGCGTATAATACAACATTCTGGTCAATGTAATATTTAAAAATGTGCTTAAGACACAAGATAACACTTTCCGTAGACAGTCCAGACCTAAAACCAATCAGTGCGTCGTGCAGCACCAGATGTTTACCCAGCTGAATGTTAATAAGTGAACTGACAGAAACTCGCACTTTGGACATAAAGTGGGCATATTATTTTAGCAGTTAGCCATTCTTGTGTAATGTGCGTTAGCAAGCCTTAAAATTCGCTTAAAGTTGTGTTCTTTGTTAGCTCTCGTATTTACGAGCCTACGAAAATTCCTTTTGGAAATTTAGCGTCAATGACGCTTGAAACTACATTTTCCGAAATTTGGTTTCAAGATACTGAAAACCTTCACCATCATTTGTAAATTGCTTTTAAAATGTATTTGTGTAAAATGCAGTTAAGCGGTCATTATCTATAAATAAAACTAGTTTTACGGATTTTATCGCGTATATTACCTTATTTTATATTTCCGACGTTTCGAGTACTTTACAGCACCCATGGTCACAGGGGGGACTGAGGTGTATGACGTCCCAATGTCATAGTTAACCACGGCTACCTCCACATTAAAAATTAATAATTTTTAATCTGAAGGTAGCCTTTGGGCAGTGTTCAGGAGATCGGCGAGGGCAGGCACATCTTATCACGTTTAGCTCAAAACTTAAAAATAAGAGTGTACAACCAGTGCGTGTTACCAGTGATAAAATATAAGACGTGCTTGTTCATTGCTGGCCGTATGAAGAAGCTCGGGGGCGCTCAGTGAGTAATGTAAATACCTATGCTCGTAGTTTTTCTGCGTGATAGACTAAGTAATGAAGATAATATCTGCAGTAGAATAAGAGTACCAACATAGCCTAACGGATCAGTAAGCTGAAGTGGTAATGGGCTGGTCATTTGTAAAATATAGTTTGAAGGACCGACAACCGATGCCCCCAATAGATGAAGTATCGACCTAACAAGAAAAGCAGGGATTCGATAGATGCAGGTGACTCAGGACTGTGCTTTGTGGCATTGCTTGGAGAAGGCCAATATTGAGGCTGTAAGGATAATGATGATGACGATTAAGTGAGACCAATTACTTGAAATGGTGTCACATGAAAACCTGAAGAAACATGGATTTAAGAAATTAATTATATTAAATAATTACTTAAATTCATATATTATTATCATTATAAAATAAGTTGACTTTAATAACTCAAAACAAAAATACAATTTTTTATATCAAGAATATTTACATTTTAACGCGGGTACCGCGTTTTAGTAGTCGCGAAGAACTTAAACAAAAAAAAAATGCAAAGCTATAATAGTTGTGTTTGGGCAATAAGTTTAAGTATAGAAATTTATCTTAATATTTTGCTTTATATTTTATTTGTAAAATGGTGTTGAAGTATATAAAAATGTTACAAACCGATTTTGCGTCAAACCTTTGAGACAGAAGATAATTTTATAAGGAAAATTTTTGTTTAAAAATGCAAAGCTAAAATTTTTGATTCAAACATTTTTTATATCTCTTATTGTTTTTTATATATCGTATTGATTGATGTAATGATAAGATAATCATCAAAAACCCTTTCCTTGTTAGTTTTAAAATTTCATAAAAATAAACAACCTGCATGTTTTCTGGATAAAATGTAGCCTTGATGCACTTCTGGAATTGGCCTCTATCTATTAGTGAAGTTCCATAACAATTGAATTAACCATTTCGAAGATTACAGGCAGACAAACAAAAATGTCAAAAATGATTTTTCATGTCCTAAAAGCATACTAACCCCCTTTTCAGTTTCATGTGTATATATACATTGTATAGATGATGAATTTGGCGGCAGACATTTAGATTCAATTTTATCTATATCTTGGTATGTGAATAAATATAACTACTACGCTTTGCATTTTCATTTAGGTAATTTTTTTTTACTTAATCCAAAGAATCTATAAAACGTGTTTTTATAATAGAAAATGGAGATTTACCTCCACAATTTAAATAATAATGATATGTTGTGCCACCAGACTTAATATGTCCTGTTTTTGCATACTACGCTAAGAATGTTTTCACAAAAGCTAAATTAAGCTCTTTCACGTGCGGTGATTATATCTCGTTTGAAAGCAAAAACATCGTTGTGTGAGCTATATAATGATCAGTCAGGAGTAAAGCCTTCTTGGCCTTTCACCCTTGATCTTACGATTTGATACACCATAATCCAGGCGAGCAAAGTCATGGGGAAAAAGCTAGTTATAAAATAAAACTCTTAATCATCATCATCTATAGATTGCCTTAACTCTTTAGTATTGTAGATCCTATCGGCAAAATGCGGAGCAGGAAAAACAAATTTTACGACAAAAATTTTTTTTGTGATCAGGAAGAGATTATAGAAAAAGGCACACTGGATGATACTTGGGAGGAAGTGGATTGGATGCGTCGATGCCAATATCTATCGACTAGGATGCCTAGCAAGGATGCATAAACGAGAATGACCACACTTTTAGAAGACTGTCGCAGCGTTCTCTCCCCGAATGAAATGGTTAAGGCGAAGAAGTTGTTTTCTCGTCAAACGATGCTGACGTAGGGAAGACTGGCTTAGTTAAACACAAAATAAACACAGAAGAAGAATTACCTATCCGTCAGCGGCCAAGAAGATTGCGGTAGCACGTGAAAAGCAAGTGGAAACCATGATTGAGGGAATGGTGAAGGATGTTGTTATTGAACCTTCATTTAGTCTATAGTATTTACCTATGGTGCTGGTAAAGAAAATGGACGACATCATGTGCTTTTGTGTTGACTACCGCCGTCTGAACGGCGTTACGGAGAAGGACAGCTATCCCTTGCCAAGAATTGATAACACGCTGGACATGCTTACAGGAGTAAAGTGGTTCAGCACACTGGACCTGAAAAGTAGCTACTGGCAGGTTAAAATTGCCCCTAAGGACAAGGAGACAAACGGCATTCTCGACAAGACAGGGTCTGTGACAATTTAAAGTTATGCCGTTTGAATTGTGCAATGCTCCAGCAACGTTTAAAAGGTTGATGTAGCTTGTACTTACCGGGCTAATTGGCGATGCCTGTCTAGTCTACATGGATGACATCATCATCGTAGGCCGTACTTTTGAGGAACACCTTTAAAACCTAGAACGCATGCTCATAAAGATCCAGAGTGCCAACCTCAAATTGAGTCCGAAGAAATGTTCACTATTCAAACGGCAAGTTAGCTTTTTGGGGTATGTAGTGTCGGACGAAGGTATCCGCACGGATCCAGAGAAAATTTCCGCTGTCAAGGATTGGCCAGTTCCAAAAGACAAGACGCAAGTTAGAGCATTTTTGGGGTTGTGCTCCTATTATCGGCGATTTGTGAAGAACTTTGGAGATAGAGATGATGGAGCCAAACCTCTGCACAAGCTAACCAAGGAGAAGCGACATTTCTGCTGGGATGAAAGTTGCAATATCGCATTCCAGGAGCTCAAGGACCGTCTGTGCAAAACACCTATTTTGGGGTACCCTGATGCGGAAAAGGACTTTATAGTTGACACAGACGCAAGTGATATAGGACTTGGCGTTGTATTGCTTCAATGGAATAGTGATCAAGAGATTGTGATAGCGTACTTCAGCAAGTCATTATCAAAGCCGGAAAGGAACTGTTGTGTCACAAGACGGGAATTGCTTGCTGTGGTAAAGTAGTAGTCGGCAGCATTTTAACAAATATCTTTTGAAGCGGAAATTTCACTTACAAACTGACCATGCTGCACTAAAATGGCTATTGCAGTTCAAAAATCCAGAAGGTCAAGTTGCAAGATGGTTTGAACTACTGCAGGAATACGACTTTGTGATCGAACATCGGAGCGGGAAACCTCATGCAACGCAGATGCATTGTCAAGAAGACCTTGTCCTGAAGATTGCAAGCATTGTACTAGGCAAGAGGGTAAGGAAGTGGTATCTGTGAGTATGCTCAGGATAGACCAGCTTAGCAACGAGTGGAAGGACAGCCTACAACATTCACTGCAGGAAGATTCGGCCTTCAAGCCGATTCTGGAATGGATGAAGGCCAGTGCTCTTAAGCTCAAGTGGATCAACGTCTCTGCGATGAGTTTGACCACGAATAGCTATTGGGTCCAATGGAACAGCTTCCTGATTCAGGATGGAGTCCTGTGCCGTAAATGGGAAAATGGCCGGGGAGACAGCTGTCATTTGCAAATGGTTGTCCCTAAAGCTAAAGTACCGGATGTTCTACAGCTGTACCATAATGGTTGTTCAGGAGGCCATCTGAGAGTTAAACGAACTTTACTGAAGATCCGAGAACGGTTTTACTGGGTCTACTGTCGTGACGATGTCAAGGACTGGTGTAGCAAATGTACGTACAAATTGTGCGGGGGATCACAGACTCGTAGTAGAGGTGCATTGAAATTGTACAATGTTGTTGCACCATTGATAATAGCCCTTGACGTTGCGGGACCGTTTCCGGAAAATGAAAGTGGTAACAAGTATTTTATGGCTTCAACAGTTGCAGATAAACTAGTTAATGAAGTCTTCTGTCGTTTTGGAGTACCTTTAGAGATTCACAGCGATCTAGGAAGTAATTTTGAGTCTCAAATATTCCAGGAAAATTCCCGAGTTAGGGGTACTCATAAAACAAGCACAACTTCTTACCACCCACAATCTGAAGGAATGGTAGAACGATTTAATCAGACATTGGAGAGGTGCCTAGCAAAAGTTGTGGAAAATACGAGAAACGAGATTGGTACAAGCACCGTTTTTGTTGTCGTATCGTAACCCTGTTCACCAAAGTACATCCGTGGCACCAGCTTTGGAAGGGAATTACGGCTACCTGCAGACCTGATCACCGGAATAACACCTGATTCCCCACGCAGTATAACCGATTATGCAAATGACTTGCGCAACAAATGAATGAAATTTATGGGCACCTCAGATAGTCGGGCCAGCAAATGTCTGAAAAAATGAAAACCCTGTATGACCGCAAAATGAACAATAAAGGGTTCGAAGAAGGTTCACTAGTGTGGTTGCACAATCCAGTTCGTAGCAAAGGGAAATCTCCTAAGCTTCAAGCTAAATGGGACGGACCGTATCGCATTGTGACAAGCGAAACCTACCAGATACAAAAAGGTGCAAGAGGTACTCCTAAGATCGTCTATGTGGATCGACTGGTGCGTCATTATGGGTCCAATAATGCTACGGACGATCATGTCTTAGGAGGGGGCAGATGTTGCGCGCCACCATTAATGACGTGCACATGGCGACACTAGTTATCACTAGCGCTTTCTAATATAGAGTAGCAGAACTAGGAGAGTCAAGATCCTTCTAGAAATTTCCATGGAAATTTCTTTCTAGAACTATCGACATCTAGTCAATTAGGACCAGTATGTACTCGAAAATTCTGGAAGTTTCTACAGTAGAAGATTCTAGAACTATCTGAGGCTTCATATAAGGCCGGTATAGACCGCGATCGGGGTCAGTGTTGAGTTGGCGATACAAGCCAATATTTCGAAGCGATACAGCTGCGAACTAAAGTGATCAGTAATACAATTGTGTTTTGTTATTAGTGTAGTTTTAATTTGTAATTAGTGTTCTGTAATTAAAGTGTCAATTTTGGTAATTCACTCAACGGTTTTTAATTATCTCGAACCCTAAGCTCGTAACAATAATGTAGGATCTCATAGTGTATTAACCAAAGACTTAGAATATACTGGCGTATAGACGACCTGACAGGCCGAAAACGCGTGACTAATTTTGATTTGTCATTGTGTACGTTAGCTAGTGATGTACATTAAACTTACAAGAACTATCGAAAAATGATTGTTAAGGAAGCGGTAAAAAGATTAAAAAAAAAATAGTTTAGAGCACGAAATTGATTTACTTCAAAAATTAACTAAATTTTTACCATGATAGTTCTAAAATAATTAAAAAATATTCATATAACATGTTCCTGGGAATAAACTGAACCTACCTGCCTTTTGTTGGATTTTAATTCAAATGTAAAAAATCCCAGGTGACTCTACCGATAAACTTAAAAAAAAACTCCCCAAGTATCAGATCGGAAAGTTGTATTTTTGAGCTATGATCTTTGGAGAAAAATATTTACTACCATGGACAGTTTCCCCGGAATTTATTTTTAACATATTGTAAATATAAATAGGTAGATACTTAATTAAGTATATATTTTATATATTTTATAAAATATTTTGATGGGAAAATAAGAAACGGGAACACGGAGTACATAATGACTGCTTTATTTTTCATATAAGTATTAATTTTGATAATTACAAACATTTAACAAAAATTAAATAAATTATAGAAGTTTATTTTAACATTCGATTTATATGAATGTAAACTTAATAATTCAAGTAAGAAAACTTGTAGGAATCAGTTAAATAAGATTGTTCTGTTTTAAGGCCAATTTGCTTATGAGGCTTCATCATGCTTCATGTTTATATTCTTTCTGACCCTGAAAAATATAAAGTAAAAATAAACTTTATTAATTTTAAAAACATAATCATATTAACCGAGTAAAAGGCACCAAGTGTCTGAGAATAAAGATGCACCCATTCTCTCCATATCGGTATGTTAAGAAAATGGTCACTCATTCATGTACTCACCGCGGTAAATGCAACTTAATCTCGCAGATCTATTGATCCGCGCAGCTATTACTTAACCACGAGTTCCTCTTCTCTACGACTAACGCTGTAGGCGATGCACCACGCTATTTGGCCATCAAGCATGAATCATGCATCGAGCGTTGAGAGTATCAAATACTATGGAATTTATACTATCGCGTCTCATGCACGAGCGTCTAGTGGCGCTTCAGGAGCATTAATATTATCTATACCTAACTACGCTAAAAGTTTTATCATTGTGACTTAGGAATATAATCCGAAGCTCCGCTCAGCCTCTTAGGGAAAATAGCGTGATGCTGTGAATATTGTACCAGTGTGACCGTGAGGCTGTTCGGTTTGTTAACTAAGGTTATACATTTATTTTGGTTGATAAATAGATGCTTAGTTGGGTTCATAATGGCTTAAAGAGGATAATCTCCTTCACCTGATGGTAAATGGTTGCTGCGGCCAATAGACGTCTACGTCTATCCTCTATTAGAAATCAAAATGCAGATGCGTTGTGTTCATGATGACTAAGATGGAATGCCTCTGAAATACCAATGATAAAAAGGGTCTCCGGTTCTCTACACTCACCATACGAAACACAGCAGCGTTAAGCTGCTATTTTACGCTGGTATTCTGTGAGAGCGTGGTCCTTTCCCGGTCGAGCCAACCCATGCGTGCTACAAATATACTACTAATATAACTGCAGCATTGCTCTACCACGTAAGCCGTAAAGTACAAAAATATGTCTGTATTTTTATTTAAAGTTTTAAAAGTTAAATTTTGGAAGTTTTATTATAACATGTATTATAACGTATATTATAACGTGCATGTATGAAGAAGATAAGGAATCTGAAAGAAGCGAAAGAGGTATGTAAGGATCGTGACACTTGGCGATCTGTTCTCTCTGGCTACCCCGTCAGGGATTGTGCGTGAAGATAAGTAAGTAAGTAAGTTTATTATAACAAAATTATACTTACTGGTACAAGTAATGTAGAAATGACTCCTTTTAATAAAATTGTTTTTATTTTACTTTTTCTTTTATACTTCACAAGAAAATGTTTGCTGCAAAATCTTCTTAGAGTTCTTATTTGGATTCCAACCAATTAACCTTAACCATTTTTTTTCAAATTATAGAATCCGGAGGGAATCTGTTTGACAAACGGGAAAATAAAATTACATTTTCGAATGTATTTACCAAATTCACGCAAATTATCAACAAAGTGACTTTTTTCTTTGCAAAATATCAAAGTTAATAGAATAGTTGAAAGCATTATGTATTATAAACAGTATATAACATTAATTTTTAATCAAAAATAAACGCATCATAACATTGACTACGTCTTGAGAATTTACCTGTGAAAATGTGAAATTATCAGGATTATGTCTGTTATTTACACCACAGTGTCTTATCGAACAAGTAGCCTTTTTGGAAAAAAGTTATTTACTAAAAATAACTACTATTACACTCTAAAATATTTCAAAATATCTAAAAGCTATTTCTTGCGTGCCAACTTGTGCCGACCTGTCATTCAAAATCGGTAATAGAGTTAGATTTGGTATCCTTTTCTATCTTGCATTTTTGCCATAAGAAATTTTCTTCTCCCTTGGACACTATGTTGGTCTAACGCCAGTATATTCTAAATCTATGGTAATAACATGACAAGAACTTCAATTAAAAACCATACGTCATTACTCGCTAGTTATAATTTATAATCGATTTAAGTTGTCATCGTCTCTATTACAAATGAATTTTCATTAGCTCTATTTCTAAACTTAATAAAAAGATTTCTGTTATAAATTAAGGATTTGGTCTAATTTATATGCACTTTATTACTAAATCCAAATTTAAAAATGAAAATCAAGTCAATTAAAAAAAAATAAAGTAAAGAGAGCGAATGCTTCAAGGACAGCACGCCAATGGCATCGCGATGGACTCTTTCTCGGTCCAAGAAAACCCTCTCAACAATCTGAGAATGCTATACGCCATATATCTCAGCCGTGGGCCATATTTGGGCTGTTACTTTACTTTTTAATTGAACTCTTTACTCTGTTTGCATTTTTAATAGG